CTTTGCCAGCTCCCCAAGACCTCGCAAGTGACATCGGACGCTCTTACCGTAATCGCCAGCCATGGCAGAGGTGGCACAGGATTTCCGTCAGCTCTTACCTCCACCAGACTTCTCTTCACTGAAGGACTTCGCAAGTTCCCGTACCGAGAGGGATGCGACCGCAATAACTCTGGTGGACAAGGAGGCCAAATAGGAGTGTTCTTAGAAACCAGCTACGGGAAAATCGAGGAGGGTACAATTGGTTTTGGTGGGTGTTGCGAACTTCCTGCAGGACTTCCTGCAACCGGCGTCTATGAGGCCACCCGGATTTTCCACAATCCCCGTTGGAAAGCCAAAAGGGGATCAAATTCTATAGAGGATTGCCTTTGAACTGCCCCGTTTAGACCCATTCAATTTCTTACATCACGAACAGTAACCTCCCCACCAACAGACATGGACCTAAACCCGTCCTGGCTCGAAGCCTGGACAATGCCCAGCCTGAAAGGTCCCTGTCAGGTTCCACATGTACTTTGGACATGGCAAAGGGGCAACCGCCAAAACCTGGCTTGAACGAGTTCTTAGGGGCAGCCCCGCGCAGCAACGGGTGTGGCCCCTGTTAGACATCGGTTTGGGTAGACGCCTTCAATTCCAGGTGTCCATCGTCATCAGAGTTGCAGTTTTGCCAACACTCTGATACCAACGGAGGGGCTTCCAACCAATTTCTTGCCCTCACAGCGCTTGCAACTCAAATGCAGTTTTTCACATAGCCAGGGTGTTGAGGGAACCCCTGTTTTAGTGTTGGCTTGAAGGGGGTCAAAAGGGAACTGCCCGCTTGTTTGACTCCCAAACCCCTGTTCTAACACACACACACACCCATCACACACACACACACACCAAAGACACACACACACACACACACGCCCACACACACACACACACACGCACGCACGCACGCACGCACGCACGCACGCACGCACGCACGCACGCACGCACGCACGCACGCACGCACGCACGCACGCACGCACGCACGCACGCACGCACACGTCCCAGCCGCGATCCGAGCAGCTCATGTGCTGCAGGTGGGGTGCCCCCGGCATAAGCCGCGGCAGGAGCTCTGCGTAGGGCCTCACCTCCTTCAGCAACGTCAAATTTCCGCTGGCCTCGCAGGCAAGAAGGAACCACACCGGCTGAGGCAGCCCCACGTCCACAAAAAGACACTAATTCCCGCCAAAAAGGAAGTACATTTTTGGAAAAAGTGGTTCCTTTTTTTTGCGGGAGTTTGGTTGTACGCCACTAAAATGGGCCTTCCCAAAAAGTATGGAGTCCATGAACTCACAGGACATGAGGAACATTGCAAACAGCGCCTGGCCTTGGCCCACGCTCAAACAAAACCTGTGGGCCTTTGCGTAAGCAACCTTTGGCTAAACCTTTTCTTTAAATATATTTGGGCACCCCTTTGAAGGGAACCAGGGCTTGGTTCTCCAAACCAATTTTGCCCAACACGGATTGCACGTGCTTGGCCAGTTGTTACCCTGGATCATGAACCGCCAGTGCCTCCTCCTTCCTGAAAAAAAGGTACATGTCCGTCTACCCATCGAAGGCCAACACGTCAAACGCTCGAGCTCGTCAAGGGATGCGCAAACCCAGAGTCCGAAACAAGTTTGCTCCCGCAATATGCCCAAATGATCCTGAGATGGAACCAAACTTTGCTTTAGTATTGCCAACCAACAGGGCTGTGGCAAATAGGGGGACCCCCTAAATTGCTTGCATTGCTTTTGGTTTCCCTTTAAACCGGCCCCCAAAAGCGGTATATGCCCGCAACAAATCACAAACCCCAAACCATGACCTTCCGGAAAAAAACTCCAAACACTAGGGGCGAGCACGCAAGAAAAGCCATCCAGCAGAATTCCCAGCCCCAAGGTACGGCTGATCAGTTGGTCTCTTTTGCCTGGGCAAAGCTTTGGCCACCTCTACTTTGGTGTCTGGGATCTGGGATCCGCTGGGATCCCACTAGGATACCTGTATAACAGGTATCCAAGGGACCCCTGAAAACAAAAAGAGTTGGTTACCTCCATGGTGGTGTCTTGTATCCTCTGGGTTGGTTTACAACTGTTTGCTGGACCGTTCCAAGCAAGTGAATGCACGAGCGAGGATTAATGCAAACACACAGGCTCACCACCATTTCCACGAGTTTCTGCAATCAGATATGCGACTCAGATTTTGCAACGTCAACTCGTTTCTCGTTGGATCCTTCGCTTCTTACCGTTTGCTTGACTCCCTAAAAGAGAAAATGTCCAGTAGGGATAAGTTCCCTTTGAACCCCAAGAGGGGAAAATCCAACATGAAGAAAAGCCACACGTTCCAATCTCCAGGCTCCAAGTTTTCCGAGCCCCTCGCCTCAGTGACGTGCACCAGCAGGTGCACGCAGAAGGCGTGGCGCGGTGCTTTCGCCAAGGCCCCGCGCAGGAGCTGCTCCGCGCGCCGCGCCGCCGGCCGCAGCTGGCCGGAGCCTGGGCACAGGGCCGCGGGCTCGGCTCAAGCGGACCTGTGGATGGTTGCGACCTCCCAAAAGCGTGCCGAAGTGGCAATTTCATAAAGCTGAAACCATGGGTTTGGTGGGTATTTGCAGCCAAGAACGCAGATCCTGTCCAGCTCTCTCCAGGTGGGGGGAACTGTCAAAGGTTACCCCAAAAAGACGTGCCGATTTGCCGGCCCCTCCGCCAGGAGCGGTGAACTGGTGTCGAATCCTGGTTTCCCCGCCAAAGCCAAGAGCAACTACAACAAGCAAGCGAGAATCTAGCCTAGGCGTTCCTCAAACAATGCCTAAACAAACAGTGGGCTAGTTCAAACAAGCAAACAAAGAGTAAACAAACAAACAAACAAACAAACAAACAAACAAACAAACAAGCAAGCAAACAAACAAACAAACAAAGAAACAAACAAACAAACGCGAAAGCCTTAAACCCAAAGACACTAGCAAACATGGGAGAAACTAACCTGAAAACAGTGGGAGAAACCATTCTCCAAGACCGGCGGGGTTGCAGGATTCGCTAGAAAACTCACCTTCTGGGCCAAACAGGTGATGCAAGACAGGGAAATATTGGTTTTCAAAATGGGGGGCACCTAGCAAATGGCATTTTGGTTGGGTTCCCCAGAAACGCCCAACTAAGGAGGCTTCCCTCAAAAACTAGAAGAGGGTTCCCTCACAAATTTGGAACACAACTGCAGAGGGTTTTTCCCTGAACAATTCGACACGCCCAGGAAATCCCTGAGTTCTGACCCCCCCCCCCTTCCCCGACGCTTGTTTTTCTTGGGGATTCGAGGCGCGCCAGTAGTCCCAGGGCTGCGTGTTCATCCAGGCGTCCGCCGTGAGGGCCGCCAGGTTGGCGTAGTGCTCCGGCATGGCACTCGCCTCATTCGTGACGTGTGCCCCCACAAAAATGGGACACAAAGGGTAGGTTCTTGCAGATGGACGAAATCCAGCACCACCCAAGAAACCCCGGAAGGATGCTTTCCCCTGTAAATACCAGCAAAAAACGGCGTGTCTTGGTTTCCAAGTGATGCAGGATTCGTCCATCCACAGTAGTGTGGGTGCCTGCGCATGATGCCAAGTGGAAAATGGCAGTGTCCAAAACAAAGCAACATGACCTGCCTCTGGAATGGGCGAGTTTGCTTTTTGCCCCCTATAGGCTTTCTTACTCCTAGCTTGTGGTTTGGATTGGCTTGGACGGTAGTCCGGGTTTCAATCCTCCCAAACCACCAATTCAAATCATGAAGCGGGGGCAACCTAACAAAAATCATCTGGCGCAGAACTGGTTGGTTTCTTCTTTGCCCCCAAAAAAATCGTTTGTCTTTTGGGCATTCCGCTAAGCATCGAAAAAACGGAGGTCCATTTGTGGCTCCAGGGGCCATCCATCCTCTTAAATTATTCAAGGATTGTTGACCTCTACGCCCTCCGCAAACTAACTTCACTTGCCCAAAGGACCTGAACCTAAAAAAGGTTCATTTAAAAAAAGTGGACCAACCAGGAAAATACCAGGGTTCAAAAGTCAGTTGTAAATACTGATCAACATGTCGAAGAGCAAAATTTGTTGCGCACTCTGCCCTCCCATCCCTCCCTTCTCCCCCGCCTCTTTAAGCACTTCCTCCATCTCCCGCGCGAAGCTTTGCGTCAGCCGCCCCTCCTCCCAGGGTTCCTTCTGTGTCCACGTTTGTTTTAACATGACCCGACCCGACAAAAGCAATCTCTTTCAAATTGGCCTTTCTTCCAACCAACCACCCCCGCGCATAGGACCTCATCGTGGGCTTTTGCTGGTTTTTGCCCCCGTGCTCACCATAACATTGGCCGACCCAGTGTGTCCCATAAAAAGATGCATCCAAAAACCTGCTGCTTCCTAAAGAACCAGATCCTCTCTACATCAGCTTGTATGTGGTTGGGTGATTTGTCCATCCCTTGGCACTTTTTGGGCTCCCTCACCCGCGCTCCTCCGCCACGTGCTGCGCCGCCGTGGCCGCGTACCGCGCCCGCAGCGCCCGCGCCAGGCGTCCCTCCAGCCCCCCAACCCCGGCGCCGTCGGGGAGGCGGCGCCGGGCGCGCTCGGCCGCGGCGAAGGCCGAGGGCAGCGAGGCCAAGAGCCGGGGCTCGTCGAAGGAGTTCAGGTTGGGGCCCAGGGCGAAGGCCTTTGAGACAAATCCCAGGAGGACATGGGGAGGGGGGAGGGGAAAGGTTCCATTCAAGGACCGGGGGGGGTTCGTCAAGGCCAAGGCCTTTCTGGAGAAAATCCCAGGAGGAAAGGGGGAGGGGAGTGTCCCAGCGAAAGGGGGGGGGTCCATTCATCAAGGACTGGCCAACGGGAGGGGGAGAAAGGTTCCATCGGAAGGGGGAGGGGCCCCATTCAATTGTTGCAGGTTGGGGCCCAAGGCAAAAGCCTGACCTAGTCAAGAATCCTCGTTTGAGGGGAGGTCCCATTCATATGGGTTGATGAGGCCTGGATGTGTTGATCCAATTTGGGAGGTAAACTAGCCCCCTTGGTGAAGTCAATTCAAGAAAACCATGGTGGATTCTGATGGGCGCCACATTCATATGGACTCTGGGTGATAAGTTGCAGCAATCAAGTTGTTGAGGCGGCAATAGCCTTGGGAACCCACCAAGATTCAAGAAAACTTTGGCCAATTTTGGTTTGGGGTGCCCAAGGTGAAAACTCTGGCCATGTTTCAACATTGAAGGCTGTGTCTCTCCAAACTTGTTCCCGGAACCCCACGACTCGAGGAGCATCCACCGTGCAGTGATGTACGTCAACATTGCACAATCAGCGGTGCGAAGATGGATTTGCTAAGCTTTTTCTCCGTTGCCCAAAGATAAAAGGTTCACCTTTGGACCTGACTATTTTTTTCCTGCCCCCCCCACCCGAAGGCCGAAACCGAAACGTTGGCGCCCCCCCCACCAGGCTGCGGGCGCGGAACCGCCCCGCCTCGCCCCAGACGCACATGGCGCAGTTCGGGTCCGCGCGCTGGGCCGCGCGGAAGGACAGCACGGCGCGGCGGAAGTCGAAGGCGGCAATGAGGCGGAAGCCCTGGTCGAAGTACCTGCGGAAACGGGCGCAAAATGAGTGGCCGGGGCCGGGGGGGGGGGGTTCCGGGGTCCTTGTTGGCTGCCTTTGAAACGACAACCAGAAAGGGGAACCAGCTCCAGAACATGGAGTCCAACATTTTCTGGTGTTGTGTTTCCGCTTTGAAACATGTTGAAACCAAAAGCCAGCACCACAGAAGGTTGCTCACAATGGGCGTGCCAAAATGAGAGTTGGACATTGAGAGGCCCATGCTCTACTCACAACGTCCCTTGGAACATCAACCCGCCAAAAACCAGGACCCATGTTCAACGGCCAACAAGGACGATTGTCTTTAAATCCTTCCCACTTCCCACCCGCAAAACACACCACAGCCCCTCCCCGTGGCATCCCTCGCGGCGCCTCTGCGCCGGCGCTGTGGCGTTGATCGGGAAGGAGAGGTCCCCCAGGTCATCGAAGAGCTCGATGTGGTGGCCCTCCGGCGGCCACCCCTCGTCCGGCTCCTGGCGGGGCGCGCGGCCGAAGTCCTCACGACCCGCCCGAGGGAAAACCCACAGCGGGGCAAGGCGGCGGCGCTTTTTTTTTCAAATGGCCCAAGAAAAATGCTGGCTTAGTGCCAGTGTCGTTCTTGGATGTTGCCTTCTTCGCGTCTCTGACCCTGGAATTGCTAAGGGACCCCAGAACTCGCCGTATGTGGGCATATTTGTCAAAATCAGTCTTCCTGCATGCCATGCGAAAAACCACCAACTCTGCGGTGTTCCACATTTGTTGACCCCAGTTTACAGGAAGACTTGAGGAGCGGGTGAACGAAAGCTAGCAGTGGTTGCATGAGATGGGTCGGTGACAGAGTGGATTCATAGGTAGCTTGTGTACAACGAGAGGCCCGGCAAGATTCGTAGGATGCGACACGCAAACGCACATGGTGGCGTGGCAAACCTTGAAAAATGAAAACAACGAGAGGCGTCAGAAGCTGTCTTAAAGCACCTCTGGGTTCTGCATGCTGCGTGTGCAAAGATTCTTGCGAGGTGGTTTACCGAGAAGACTGAGGTCTCAAATGAACAAGCTGAATCGGTGGAACATGTAAAAGTTCGTAGCACCAAGTCCAAAACGGGCAAACCGAGACTGCTGAACACTGAGCCACTGCCCGGGGGGGGGGGATGGACCAGGGAGGAATCGAGCCTGAGACCGGGGGGGGGGGGGAGGGGGGGGGGGGTCTAAATAATTGATGTTTTTCAATCTTTTCGGCTCAAATAATTGAAAAAATCAATCTTTCGGCATTTGAGCCCCTTACCTTGCTTACGCAAGGAGAAACTTCAGCTAGCTAAAGCTAGCTTTCGTGAAAAGGAAAACACATCTGAATGATCCTGCTTCATGACGTCAGTTGGCATTCCCCAGCAGAGGTTTCCGTTTTCAGGAATTGTGTGGTATGCAGTTTCCAGGGCAAAGGCCTCTAGTTTCCAGGGCAAAGCTACTGGCAAGGCCCTAACTCAGTGACGCAACCCTCGTCCGGGGTTGCGATGACCCCAAAAAAGGCGCCCTTTTGATGACCCGTTCAAAAAGAAGGTGCCAACCTAGGCCAACTATGTCACATTACCAGAACAATCATAGCTCACCAACCAGAATCGGGGACACCTACATCACGGTCAGCAGGACTGAGCCGGTAGGATTAATAGCTAGATGTTTCACCAAAAAGGCACTGACCTTAAAAGACTTCGTGGCGATGTGGGTGAGATTGCGGAACTTTAAATGGGCTCCAGGAGGCTACGCGCAGCTTCTCCTCCTTCGGTGCAAGCTGGAATCTGCTTTGCGCCCGTCCCCTGACACAAGCGAAAGACTCGGCCGCGCCGCGCGAAGCGCCCCCGAGGCTCCTGCACCGCACCCTGGGTCAGCAGAGCTCCGCTGAATGCGAGCAGCTTCAGTCGCTCCATGGCGGGTTGGTGTCGAACAAGTGAGTTGCCTGTATGATTATTACTTTGGTCTATGATTGCATGTTTGTTCACTTGCCCTCTGGTGTATGGTCTTACTTTGCTGCATTTCCCAAAATAGCAAATCAGCTTTGTATTGTTGTTTGCTCTTGGCTTCCCTCGCCGGCCTTCGCCAAATCAGTCAATTCAAACGCGCCTGCATGCTCATGAGGCAGTCCCCATTCAAAGGGAGCGGGAGCCTACACTGGCGACCGAGGATTCTTGGGCTCTGCACATCTGGCCGCACCGTTTTTCTTAGGGAACTCACAGCAGAAGGTGCTTTGGGTTCCAGCGTGCATCTTGGAGCCATAGGCGCCGCACCTTCAGGCGTGCAAACTGTGCGCTAAAGAAGCGGCAGCAATGTGTCTGCAATCCAGGGCTAATGGCCTCGTGATCGGTTTGTCCCCAAAAAGGGGACCCAACATGACCCAACAAATGGTTGCTTGTTTGAGGTTTCCCTCAAAAACCAACCAACAGCAGCCAACCTCAACAACACGCCCTTTTGGGAATTGGTTGTGATTGCTTCGATTGCTTTACCAGGGGCCACGGTTCCTCCATGGTGCCGATCGGCTCGGGAAGGTCATGACTGGTAAGCGTGCTGCTTTGGGCGGTCCAATGGGTGGCATGAGCTCTGGGTTTGGACTTTGCCAAGTTTCTGGTTTTGATACTTTTGTGAGACGACCATCTTAGTCTGGGTGCTTAAATTGCCAGAAGGCCCATGGGTCTTAGAAAGGAATCCCTCCCCAAAAAAAAACACAAAAAACACTGAAACGCCAGGATCTGCCAAGGCTTCGGCTGCCGTGTTGGAGGATGCCTCGAATCGCACGAACGAAGGGAAAGCATGGCTCACCGAAACTGCTGGTTGCAGCCGCCACTTAACGAAGCCAACATATGAACACTTGCAAGTTGGGACAGAATATGCAAGTCGACTAAAGCTCGCAGTCCCCGTTGACTTGGACGCGGAGGCTTAAACCTGGGCCATCGAACAAACGGCAGAACTGGAAAGCCAAAAGGTCAGCAGCTCCGGCCTGGATCAACAAAACCGCCTTGATGTTGATCCGCAGGTGTCACAATTTTCGAGGGGATCCTTTACATGTCGCAAAGCATCCCTCGTCGCCCTATGAATCCGCCAGGTTTACACATCCTTGGGATTCCTGCTGCGTTGCAAGCAAATCAAAAGCACAGCTCGAGCATTTTCAAGGGAAATCCCCCTTCCTTGCAGAACACCGGCCTCAAGCGTTTCAACCATGCCTACCTTGTGGGATCAACTCTGAAAACACGGCAGTTTCCCCGCACGTGAGAAAACTGGGTCCGTGGACTGCAACTCCCGGCAGTTGCAAGGGTCTGGAAAAGGGGCCAGCCCAGATTTAGCATCATACCCCATCAGCACAATGATTGCTGGGTTGACTTGTGTGTTTCTTTTGCTTTGCTGTGGGGGGGGAGCCATCAAATATCATATTGGGGTTGATGTCTTTGTTTTGTTTGGGGGGGAATGGGGGGAGAGAAGCCAAAAACAAGGGACACAGGGTGCCATTAAAGAACTGAGACGTAGAAGCTGCGATAGAAATCTCCAGCCAGCAAATAGGAGCCTGGTCCAGATTGCAGCCAGTACAGGTCCCCCAAACGACGGCAATTCGTTCAAGCGCGAAAAGGGTGTTTCCCAAAATGGGTTGGAACCCGCAAGTATGGTGGGTGTCCTTTTGGTTGCCTTCAAAACCACCCAAATAAGGAGAACCCTCAAAAACTACGCCCATATGTTTTTGTTTGAAAAGGATGTCCGCGTCCGATCTCCCGGGCCATCCTTTCTGAGCCGCTCTGGAACTTGCTGAGGAGCTTCAATGACGTGTCAATGGACCTTGGCGCGGCTATCAAAAAACATCAGTCGTGGCTTCTTCTGTGATACTGCGTGGGGCCGGAGGAAGTGAGGGAAAGGGCAAATGCCCTGAAGGGGGGGGGGAGGTCCTTGAAACCGTCGTTTGGAGGCTGAATCTGAGTATCTCACTTTAATGAACCTCAGAAGGTCCAAACCAATAGAGAGAGACTGTCAGCAGCCCATGGGCGTGTCCAAACAATCTCCACATGACCAACTTCCTAAATTCGTGAATGGAAGATCGGGGATCCTCGCGCGATGTTCTGGAAGGACTGATTGATGAAATCCTCGCGCAAGACGCGAGTTCCCCGCGGAGAACTGGGAAACCACAAGGTCAGGCTAAAGCATGCCGGTTTGCATCTGAGGACGTCCATCCAGGGTGAAATCCCTCAGAATGCTCCAACATAACTACAGGGTTGTCCGGATATAACTGATATAACCAGTAAGTTATTTCCAACACCCCTTGCATCTTGGCAGCGTTGGCAGGGTTGGCAGAGTAAGCGGGCCATGAAAAGGAAAAATTGGGGATCGGGGCATGCCCCACCGAGAAACATGGAACGGCGTTGTAGCACAACAGCAGAAGGGTGATGCCTACATGGCAGCTCCAAATGTGTGGCTTGTCTTTGGCTTCCCGAAGAGCTTGCCTCAAGCACAAACACGCACTTAAATGCCTCCGATGATGCAACTCACAGCGTCCCTTCACTTGGTGGACTTGTGGTTTTGGAGGTTGCAGGGTTCCCTATTTGCCAAGTACAAGAACCAGTGCACAAAGACAACAACACGTTTAACCTGAGCTCGAATCGCTCCCCTAAACCTCAGATCTGAGTGAAAACCCGATCCAACGCCTCATGGTTTTTTTGTTCGTTGGTATCAGCGAAGAGGAGGCCGCTGATCCGAGCTCATGGGGGCGAGCGAGCAAAGAACTCCTCAGCTACATGAGACCCAAGAGACCCATCTGCAATCTTCGGGGCTCATGATTCCTCGGGCCTACCATCAGGTCAAGAACCGGGGCGGCTTGGAACGTGTTCCTTTCAAAACATCATAGCCCTGCAGTTGATCACCAGGCGCGTGCGCTTTTAGAGGGCAAGGCGGCGCATCCGCTTTGAGTCTCTAGAGGGGAATCCGGATCACTTTGATGGGGGGGGGGGGCTCAACAAACATTTGTTGAGTTTGATGACGGCCTCTCAAGGCTTGGCAGGATAAGCCAAGGGCAACACTGAGGGGAACTGTGCCACCTTTTCACTCTGCAACCCCCCGGCCACAAAGCTCCTGCAGAGCGCTCTCCAGCTCACTGACGCGCACATTGAACCTTGCACGCCGGCAGGGTGAGGCCTCTCCGGAAAGATGTGGGCAGGAACCTCCCCGCCTCCATATAGTTCTCTGGCACACCCAAAAGGGAAATGGTTCATGGTGCAGCCTGCCTCCATTGCCCCTCCCCCCTCCAAAAAAAGCCACTCCACAAAGTGGCGCCACAAAGCAGCCTCGCTTTGCAGCACCACCAACAGGAGAAGCAAACAAATCCACGGCCCGAGCCCTTGTTTTTGCCCCCATTTCGAGCAAGCCAACATTCCCGCTGCCCCCTTCAAAAAAAGAAGCTCTTCCTTTGGGCTCCCATCAATCGGCCCGTTCAAAAGGCTTTAGAGTCGTACACGGTCGTGCGAAAAACACCGAGGGCCTTTGGAATGCGTGGCTTGGCTCAAATTCGGTAGGAACCAAAGGGCTACATGGATGGCTTGGCTCAAAAACATGGACCCATGACCTTCAGGAATATGTCCAAGTTACTTTTGAGTTGGGTGGCTTTATGGGAAATGTTCAGCTTTCTTCAAAAAGCCAATTTTGGATCATCCTTGAGCCAAAAAGCCCCCAAATTATCCAATTCAATCCTTAAGGAATGAACCCTGCAAACCCTACCCTTCCAAGACCTGATGCAGGAATATGTTTTACAAATTCACAAGCCCAAGGGTACCCAATGCGCATCTGCTGGGGGCGGCACTCCACATAGTCCCGGTCAAAGCGGTTGTTCAGGAACTCCAGCAGGTCCTGCCATTTTGGCTGGTTTCAGCAGTGATTCTCACAATCTGCCGTTAACTGCGTCATGGAATGCCTTGCCTTTATCTCTTGGCCGGCACGCAAGGTTCGGCAACTATGTCTTGAAGCATCCTTTTCAAAGGGAACACAAATTTGAGGATGAGGTAAAGGATTGTGCCAACATCACCATTCCAAAACTCGAAATAGGATATGGATTCACAACTCGAATAGACAAAAGGATGTTTAAAGGATGTTCAACTTACTTGCCCACAACACATGGACTTAAATGGCTAACCTTTTGGAAACTCCAAAGCTAGACCAAAGGCGAGGGGAAAACCAAACGGTCACAGTCAAACGCTAGCTCCGGTGGATAATCCCCAGGGCACCCGGCATGCCGCTTTACCTTGAAATCGTCCACGATGCTCTGAAACGAGCCAACCAGCTGACGGATCCTTAGACCGGGTGCGCTGGGGGAGCAGCTATCTGTTCGAATTTTGCCTCAGCTTCGTGTCGGTTTGCACGGGCTGCCGCAAGTCAAAAGAATCACTTGAGTTGCAAAATAGGCCCTTTAAGGCCCCCCAAAACGGACAGCCAAATAACACAGGATTCAAGCGTGACTGCACGCTCAGAGGGAGGTGTTCGCCCGAGTGATCCAGAGCCCTGTTCCTTCAAGGCCAAGCGACGAACATTCAATTCAATCCAAGCCTAGCAAACCGGCACCTCAGGGCTACCGCCCAAAGCGCTCTGATTTGCAGATTTGTGGGGGCCACCTGATGGTGCAGAAACAGGAAACTTGGTTTAAGCACACGGCGATAGAGAGGATATGACCTCCTTGGGTTCAGGCGCCCTTTTGCGAGAAATGAGCTATCTGTGAAGTCAGGGACCATGCCACCGTACCGGGTAGGCCATGGACGCCTGAGCTCTTCAAACTGGAGCTTCAATCCGATTAAAAAAAAAAACTACAAAAAAAACGATCAAATGCAGATTAGTTCAAAGTTGCCTTTGAGCAGCCCCAAAATTACGGCCGCCAAGTCATGGGCTGAAGCAGACCGGGCCTTGGGCCCCTGGCCCGTCCATGGATTTCAAGTGGAT